GCTGTCAGGTGAGACTATATTCAGCTATATTTAGTTTTTCTGAGCAAAATTCTCGCAATGATCGTTTTAAAGTTACACAGCTGTATCTTTATTACTGTACTACCGGTATAGCAAAGCCTAGCTATCATAGATTTTAGATCTGTATTAGTAGTATCCTAGATATATGCTCTGAGCACGAACGCGGTGATGGGAGGGTGCTCTTCATTCGTTTGCCAGTGAGTTTAGCATCAGAACACCTGCTGTCAGGTGAGCGCTGTTACTCTGCGGCACTTGTTTATGTTAAAAAACAACAACTTGGGAACACTGCATGCTGAAGGTGCCAGTTTCTAATTTCAATCTAGAATGATCGATTATTTCGATTGCGCCAGGAAATTACATTCCCGAGCCAATGTTGTTGTGACAATGATCGATGCTTGTCTGCGACCTGTGTGTGTAACTGTAATTAGAATGTTCATGTGTGAGCTGTGAGTGTGGCAAGGCTCTATGGAGTGCAGCTCACTCCTCTGAGTTAGTTGAACTTATGAGTTGAAATACTGGGCTGGATTTTTTCTTCCCCACATATCAAAGGAAATGTGTAGCAAAAGTATATGAGTCATTCAACAGTATTGGTTCCCCCCTTTTAACCATAAAATGTTTACCTTGTAATACAGCTGAAAGCTTTATGGCAACTATTATATAGTTCTAAATGATTATTTAGTACAATATATAGGCCTATGCATAATTATTCTTATACTTTATAGGATGAGAGACCACGGAAGACGCGGATTGTTCATACAATATCGGACAGCGCTAGACATGAGTCCTCTAGCAGGTATAGTAATGTTTGTTACTGCTCTAAGGCAAAGCAATTGTACATGTATTCAAATGTTGAAGTTACTATAACAGCTAACTGTTATTATTGATTTAGTTCTTGAATGTAGCTGTGCTTGAATAAATGTGTTAGAGTTGACTAATCATTGTTTAGATAATTTGTGTCAAAACCATTGAAACGTGTGTTACATGTGTTATCTTATGTATTAAAAGCGTATACGAACCCATCTGTGTATTTTTTCCAAAAAATAACAGCATTGGACATTACTAGGTTTAATATACATTTTTTGATTGGGTTCGTATGGGCTTTAAGTAATCTGTCTGCGTTTTATGACAAAATTTCTTCATTGCATGCTAGATGTACTGTGTCTCCAGGACACCATATGCTTGTCAGCACATGATTACATTTTTTCAATTTAGATATAATGTGACCATTGATTTCCCTGCAAAAGATTGGGCTATTCTCTCGGATGGTGCAGGAAAGTTTTGGGTGTTAAACACTGGAAACAGATTAAAGCTATCTGAGTGGAAGGTGAGTGATGCTTGCATAGAACCCGGCAGCAGACTTGTTATAGGAAGAATATGCCCATCTAACACCACGCTTAATTTAACTGACACTTTGTGTTATTTGTAAAAATAGAGCTTTGCTGCAAAGTTACTTTACAATAAACAGATATAAAAGATCATGGAGGATGTAAAGGAGGGTCAGATGCAGCGTAGCCGATGTCATGCGACCAGAGCCTGAATCTGCGATGTACGGGTGGGTGTCATGGAATTTATGCTCGGGGGTAGGGGGCGATGCAATGAGAGAAATCTTGTCGTCTGCCGTTCAGGTTAGCTACAGAGGCTTCCCACTGGGAGAGGGAGTGTCGTTCGCCATTCATCACTGCTGTCACCACCTGTCAGCTAATGGTCACCACGTGATCGATGCCTTGCTCCTCCACGTGGAGGAGACGACGCAGGAGGTTGAGGGTGTCACGTTTGTGTCCGTGCTGGAGTGGGTCACGTTTGTGAAAGGTGAGTGTTCTTCACGTATGTGTGCAATACTAAGCTCGTGTGACATTCATCTAAAGGGTGTGTTTGTATGCAGTTCTAAGCTTAGGTGACATTTATCAAGGTGTGTATTTATGGAAATATACATTCTTAAACTTAGTTGACATTGTACATGTATTGAGTCCTAAGCTTAACGTCAGGTTATTTAATAAGACAAGATTAATGCACCACTTGAAGGATGATAGTCTAGCTACTCTTGTTTAGCACTTTTTAGGTCAAATGGTCTATAATATTTATTATGGTGTAAAGCTCAATAAATTATCTATCACATCTAGCCTCCATGCAATTGTTCTATCCATCTAGTTAAATATGAGTGTAATGAAGTTGCATGTAATCCTGAGGCGTCCCGTTATGCCACTCTCAGGAGATGACGAGACATGGACATTAAAGCGAGTGAGAAGATTAAAAGGTCGCAGCATTCCAGACTACGTGTGCCTGACGGACAATGCTACAGCGGTGTACATTTCCAGCGACAAGCCGTACACTGTAGTGTACGACTCGATGAACCCAGTAGAAGAACGAGTAGAAAAGCAGGAGGAAACATGTAAGGCAAATTCAGTGATATGAGCAATTCGTATATTGTTTCCCCTTTGCCATTTGTCAAAGTCGAGTATCATCTTAAATCTTTTGTCTATCATCGCATGATGTAATTGGAATTTTCAATGGAAAACGCTACGTGTATATTGCCCGCGTGCTACTATCGATGATCACGTGCTGATGTTTTAAAGGGCCTTTCAACGTTCTAGTTGTTAAATATGTCATGTTCTTGAGCATTATAATAATGGTGCCAACGACTGTCTTTGCTTTGTTACATACTGTTGAGGTTAACTTTATTAACACCGTTACATAAGCGTGTAGTATCTAGAGCGCCACCATGTGTTCTCACCTGATCTACTACTAGCACCCTCTCTTGGACGTACAAGGACTAAACGGGCTTTGCATTATCTTACACTAGTGAAAGATGCCGAGAAACATCCGCTGTATACATGGAGTCAAACCGATGACGAGGTGAATGTCCAGTTTACGGTTCCGGAGCGATGCGGCAAGGCGGACCTTGATGTGCGGCTGTCGATGTCCGCTTTCCACTTTGGCCTGAAGAACAGCACAGCCTTTCTGAGCGGCGACTTGCAAGCCCCGATAAAGGTCGATGAAAGCACGTGGACGATAGATGGACAAAGGTGTGTAATGTCGGGTCATTTTCTGATCTGAATGAATTCATTACTAGTGTAGATTTTTTAGAGCCGTTTTTACGTTTGCACGAGTTGTATCGGTACTATACCTAGCAATTGTATATTCACTACATGGTATCATAAACATATCATGAACATATTAAGACTAGTCATATGCCCCTGAATATATGTGCACTTATTACATAGTATTCACATATTTACGGTAATATTTGTTATGTTATAGTCCGGCAGAATTGGGCATATGTTTTGCATGGAGGTATATAGTTTTTCTTACGTTTGTTTTCTTATGTTCTTGCACCAAATAAGGCATTTCTAACAACTGGCAGTTGCTCAGTTGTGGGGAATTTTATTTAATGTAGATTTATCCAAAACCGCATCATGAACAATTGAATTTGGATTAAATAAAGCCTAGTGTCCAATAATGAGATGCCAATGCATGTAAATATTATATTATACCATCATTTACAGATGCATTTGACATTTTGAAATAGTTGTAGACTAATACAAGCATAAACGTCTGTGATTAGGTATGAAAATTGGTTTTTATTTACCGTTAAACCTTCCCTTATGTTAAACACGCAAAATCCACGAAAATGAGTTTTATAGGTTACCTACAATTTACATTTTCTGGTACAATTTCAAAACAAAATCAGTTGGCTTTAATCGTCTTCCTCCTCCTCTTCCTCGTCATCAAAGCCTTCGTGTTGGACGACTCTAGTTTGTTCATTGCAACATGCAACACTGCCCTGACAATTGCAAAACATTGTACACGCCAGTCTATCAATGTTACAACTACAGCCCATGGACTTGCATGGACTCTCCGAAGAACAAGAACACTTGATGAGCTTGAGTATGTAATCTGGTGCTGGGGGAGTCGTAACAGGGAGAGTGACAGGCTGTAGGGACTTAGTTTCCTCATCCCTTACCCAGCCATATTCCGTGGGATCAAGGTCTGGATGTCCCTCTAGGGTATGTCTCCAGTTGCAGCACTGATAGTGTGCTCTTTTGACATTTTCTTTGAATGCTTTATTGGTGGGTGGCAGAGTGCACAGCTTCGGTGTACCTGTTGCTCCTTTTCTACCTGTCTTTGTTTTCCAAGCTTTAATTCTTGACTCAGTCATGGATGTTGCATCATGCATGTTGTAGCATGCTGAGACAAAAGCTGTGGACTGTCCAGCAACACATCATCAAAGTCAGCAGTCTGATTCCCAAGGAGGCTCAAGCTGCATTTCCCTCCTCGAAGAGTTTTCAACATCTTGCCCTTTCCGATCCCGTGGCACATGGGAACAGTGTTGCAACCTGTCAGGGCATGGGCTCGTAACATGTCGGGAATGATACTGGAAAGCTTTATCACTGTAGCACTAATATCCACAACAGCACTAATATCCACAACACTCTATCGAGGTAATGGTACACCAACAGAACGTACACATCTGTGTCATCTGCCTCAACAATGACTTTCTTCTTCTTTTCTTGTGCTGCATATATCGCCTGTGCTGTGACGATTGTGTCTGCTTCATCATGGTCTGTCTTGAGGTCTGTTCTCTGAATTACTAAGCCGTATGGAGAAATCTCTACAGGCACATCATCTTGGCCAGTAATGACTAACGTGTGGGGATGGCCTCCCAGTACATCCATGTCACCTTTAAAGTCCTCACAAATAATTTGGATCAGTTGCTTCTTGTTCTGAGAGATGTTTAAAATCTGGTTCTGTGGAGGGAGCGGTGATGATGCCTGTAATTGGAACACCCTACAACCACCTGGACCCCGTGCCTTGCAGGCTGAACACTTGGTGCTGTATTGAATATACCTGTCAAAGACGAGATATACATCCCCCATCCTTAGGCGCTGTTGTACGATCCCTTTGAAACCCTCTACATAGTGGGCTACTGTTGCTGGCCTTGTATCACTTGAGGCAGGCCAAGGTACTTGCCATAGCAATGCACAGCCATCAAGAACACTACAATCCATGGCTGTCTGGTTTCTTGTGGACATCTCAACTCTCGTTTTGTTCTTGAGGTCAGCTTTTCCTGTACAGATGCACATCTCTCTTGAAATGGCAAATTAAAACAATGTTACGAAAATAGTGTGTGTTCTAATGTGAATTTCCACAACCAAACGATGGTAGAATTAAATACATATTATTTTTAGAAAAAATACCAGATAATTTCTAAAGGAACAAACCTGATTCCTCAAAGAATGCAGTCGGTATTGGTGAGAGTTCATAGGATAATACATCTTTGATATTAACCTCTCTTGTGCTTGCCTGGAGACCTACGATGCGGGAATAGATTAGCTCAGTGTCATAGAGTACTTTTGGACCTAGAGGGATGCCTTTCTTGGTCACTGCCATTGTTTTAACCTTCCTCTCTATGCTGACATAGTAACCTCCAGGAAGATTCTCTTGGAATTTACGTAGCTGGGTTTCTTCGATGGTGAGTGCATTCTCAACATTTACTGAAGCTGGTGCAAGTGAACCGGTTACCACATTTACCAAGCACTCAGGGTGAACATCAGGGTTAAGGGGATCAATGCATGTTTCCAGCTTCCTTTGGATAACTACTCTGTCTTGTCTGTCTGCTGTAATGCGTCCCTTGGCCTCTTCTTTGTGTGTTGTTTGAGATTTACTTGAAGTGCCCTCCCTCAGGTAGGTCATGTCATCCATCATCTGACTACATATATGTCGACTCAAGGCCCATGTCTTTAGAGTCTCAGGCCGGAGAGTGATCCCGACAATGCCTGCCTTTCAATGGTCATACCACGTAGGACCAGTTGAGAGGCGCCTACAATTCCCCATCCCTTTAATAACTTTTTGTCATTTACACCATATTACTATTATGTTCCAGGGGTTCTAAGTTGGGTTGTGCTGTGATATAAATGTCATACGTAACAGTTTTTTACCATGCTTATTATCTTATTAGACTGATTTGTAAATATTGATATTGTGTGCAATGTTATTCTCCATTTTTACCCAATGTTCCTATTGTGTCCGATTATTAGTAGTATGAATTAGTAGCACGATTTTGCAGCGCAGCGGGTACCCGCAGCTAGTATTAAATAAAAGGTGTGTAGAGTAAATTCCCCACCACTGCCAGAGTGACAGTTGGTGGATCATTGAAGTAGACTATGAAGGCAAACTTTTAGAGCAATAAAAGAAACTATATACCCAATTGCAAGGTTCAAGGAAAAAAGCCATCTTTTCTGCCGGACTATTATTGTAATCATTCAATATCATCATTAGTACAGGCTTTCCAGCGGCCCTAAAATTCCTAAAAATTCCTAAAATTTTGAGCTCGTCCTAAAATTCTTAAAAAAACGTAAAAAATGTATGAAATTCCTAAAAAGGGCTAAAATTTTATTCAAATTCCTAAAAATAAATTTCCACAGATATGTTTGGAGTTTTTGGTGATGAGATGATGAACTTTTGGTTTGTAATTAACTGTCTAATGCAGGGTCTCCAACCATTCCTCATTCTGCGGAATCGTTACGATTTCTAGGCTTAATTTTCCGCATTCTGCAGCGGCAAGGTTATATTCCTCATTTCAGTTGCACTGTACAAAATTTGCACTGATTGTTCGCATTGTTTGCTTGGACACATTGTTGTTTTTTTCAGGCATTTTGTATCTGGCATGTCTACGGTTATGCTAGCCGCACACTATACGATTTTGCACTGTGCACAGCACTAAGGCTGATAGGGTCTATGTCCCCCAGGGTACTGCCGGAACGTACCCTGGGTACGGTCCGGTATATACCAGAACGTACCCTGGTAACTATCCAGATGAGACGGGATACTAGAGAAGCATTGCCGAAATGAGATGTTGATCCCAATTGCGCTGAAGCGCAGATCTTTTATCTGCGGCGGCAGTGCCGCGGCAAGGCCGCACGCACCCGCGGGAACGTCCTATCGACAGTATGCACGCTGGCATCTACTGGAATCCGTGTGCTGGCCAATGCATGCTAGCTGCCACGAACATCCGCAATTTTAGTGGGGACACAGAGGGTAGACTTTGGGACGTGAACAGTGTTCACTTATTTTATAAAAAACAGTCTCCTGCTTCCGTGACGAGCTGTGTGATGCCAAATCACAGAAAAGACTGATGAAATTCCTAGGGTTTGCGAAACCTCCCGTAAATGGAAATGCTGCAGGACAAAGCCTATATAGACTTGGGACTCGCTCCCCACTCGAATTACCATCGAGTGACTAAGCCTAGCCGAGAAACTACCAAGACATGCCACAAACGCCGTCTACAACACTATCATGCATACTCGGTATTAATGTAGGACTCTAGCACTTATAGGCAGTAAAATAAACCTGGATATAAATATAATTGAACATTCAGGGTTTATTCATTTCTGTTTACATAGGGCATTATAATAGTGGGTTAATTTACAGGTGCTCAGTACACTTACTAACCTTAAGTATCATCTATGGATCAGCTATATCAGCAACTGCCGCTACCTACTACATACTTGCAGTACAACTTCCCGTCACTTATGATAGTATGAATAAATACCGACAAGACTGTACATATCAGTTAATGACTGCAAGTCTGACCATGCCAAAGATGCAGCTGCCACTGCCAAGATCATAGATTCGACATAACACGGCTATACGCCACGCGCTGTAATGTAACAAATTGTAAGCTGCATCTACGCTTGTTACATACTATTATAGTCTTAGTCTGCCCATAACAAAATTCGACTTTCCTTTTAATTAGGATGATCTTCCGATGTAAAAAACATTTCAGTGACTGCGTCGTCTATATTTAACGAATCAAACGAGAACAACATAGAAACTTTTTCCATGGTTATAAATAGACGGCCATGCATATCAATCTATGTGCAATAGACTGGTACCGTCGACAGTATTCCACAACGCTACATCTAGTGAGTGTAAGGATATGCGAGTGAAAGGTGGCGAATGGTACCAGTACTACTTATGCCTATGCCTGGCGTCGTGTGCGCTATACCACCATATCTTTACACTCATCACAGAAACAAAACAAGAAGAAAGTAGCCAAATCCGTTTTTTAAGCAAATCAGAGCGCGGCGCGAGTGCGCCAAAGTTTACGAGCATTTCAAAGCAAATTCAAGCCTCATGGGTGCAGTGAAATCATCGTCAAGTGCAAGAACTTGCTCAACATCAAGAACCAAGTCGATGTTAGAATGCCGCCAGTCCGGCGTTTTCCGCCGCGCTTCGCGCGATACCGGGCTGCAGACTGTTGCCTTATATATTAAACCGGAGTGATTGGAAATGGGCGAGCGAAGTTCGTGTTAGAATGCCGCCAGCAGCGTTTTGCGCGCTTCGCGCGGTCGGCTGCAGACTGTCTTGCCTTATATATTAACCCGTTTGAATGGTGATGGAAGGCGGCAAGCGAAGTCTGTAGAAGCCGGGCAGCGGGTTTGCGCGCTTCGCGCGGATATCCGGCTCGCCAGACTAGTCTTACTGATATGGTTAGGGTTAGGCTTAGGATTAGTGTTCAGGGTTAGGCTTAGAGTAGGGTGTAGGAGTAGGCGTAGGTGACATCCCTAAACCGCTAAGTCGAGTAAGGCGAGGTACGGTCCGGCATATTAGATAGTAGTATTTAGTACAGAGGTACGTTCTGGTATACCGACCGTACCAGGGCGTACGTCCCGAGTACCTGCTGGGACATAGACCCTATCAGCAAGCACTAACCATCGCACACTTACGACCACCATGTACCGATCATCGCAGGGCCCCGCGCACACTGTCGACTCAAAGTTGGCGCAAACATGGCACTCTTCTGCTTGGCGTTCCACGAATTTAGAACGGTACTAAGGGTCGGAGTGTTTTCCCGCCATAATACGAATGCGTTCCCATAGCGCTCGCTCTGTGATTTGATCAAATTTTCTTCAGCAGTCGGCGCGGCGCGGGATGCGCACGACACCTATCTGAGTCGCCATCGAAGCCTCGCACACCTATATCGATCTGCTCCGCTCTGCGATTCGAAAATTCGAATCCGTCCAAAATGACCTCCCGAGCCAAACTTAAGCCTCACTGATCCAGACGTAACCTCGCGATTGCCTCGGGTCGGATAGTGTGCGGTAGCATAAATGAGACACGCCTAGTCAGACAGGCGATTGTCTGCAAAGGTGTCGCTAGTTTGTCTGCTAAGCTACCGTACACTATACGATTTTGGCTGCTTACCCACACTTAAGCCGCCAGCGACTTAGTGATCCGCTCCGATGCATCGTAGGCCCCGCTCCGGATGATTGTTAGCACCCCGACACTTGTCCGACTCAAAAAGTGGGCTGCACAAACCAGTGTCAGCACTCTCGATGGCGTTCCCAAGCGAGCATTTAGCGCTGTACTAAGGGTCGCAGTGTTCACCGCTTATTTTTACCGTATGGCGGTTCCCAATGCCGCTGCTTGTGATTTGAGTCAATTTTCTTCACCGCTCCGCCGAGCGGCGGTCGATTGCCAACCACACATTCCGAGTCGCGTTCGGTAAGCCTCGCACATCTATAGAACCGCTTCCGGCTCCTGATTCAAAATTCGAATCGGCGGCAAAATGACCTCCCGAGCCAAACTTAAGGCCTCGCCGAGCCAAACTTAAGCCTCCCGATCGCGCCTAAACATCGATAGTGTGCGGCCTAGCATAATAGACAAGGGTTGTAGGGTTGAGGTCTAGGGTTGAGATAGTGTTATCGCAATGAGAATATGCCATAGATAGCCTCAATATGGCAGGAAAATGGCTTAAATATAAAAAAATATTCCTGGAGCGAATTGCCGCCAGCCCCCTTACCTAGCACTGGCATGCCTACGGCACGCGGCCTGTCTGCGCACCCAAGATACATCCCGCCTGTCCATCAATTTCTGAATACGCATAGTTATAGTGATCACCGCGGGAACTTAACGCATTGAACTTCACAGGTTGGAGACCCTGCCAATGGATGTTTTCTAGTTATCTTCTATACAGAGTGAGTAATTGTGACTCAGTACCAGTTGATTCCTAAGGCTTCGAGTAATTCTGTTATACGACGCCTGTTCGACTCGTCTGGATGCTACAAGACATCCTAATTTGCATGAAAGCTTGATGATGTACAGTTATTGAAGGACTTGGAGGATAGCAGAATAGTTGGTAAGCTGACACATAACACGGGGTGTATCAGGATTTTTCGTGGGTGGAGTCGTGATCATCAATTTTTGGACCGTTTCAACAATGAAATAGCAGGCAAGATGGATTGACAATGTCGAAATACAATCAGGGGCGTGTACAGGATTTGTCCCAGGGGGGGCGGGCCAACCGTAACCCAAACTTGGAGCGACGCGAAGGGGGTCTGAGGGCCCTCCCAGATAAATTTTGAAATTAGACTGCTTAGATGCGTTTTCTGGCGACGAGCAGGGGGGGGGGTACGCGACCGCCTGACCCCCCCTGTACACGCCGCCTGACAATTTAATTAAATACAAAAAATTGTTCAAAAAAAAAATTTATCAGTTTTAAAAAAAGTTTTATGACTCACTTGAAACAAGTTTTTTAACTTTTGATCTTGATCCTTGTCTTGTCTTTGTGTCTTTGTCAGTCTTGTGTCTCTCTTTATGAAACAAAATTTATGCTTATAAAAAAGAGCCTAGTCTCAGAATTGCTCGGAATTGTGGATAGATTTACGTCACGCAATTGCAATGTCTTATGGCACTCAGTTGCTGCCTACCTGATCTTTTTCATTTATTGCATTGTTAAAAAGGCCCTCGAAAAAAAATGTCGATGTATGTCTATGAAAGCGTAAGTGACATATTTTTAATCACTTAAAAGGTTTCGATTTATCCTAAAAATTGCCTAAAAATAGGCCGCTAAAAAAACCTGAATTTCTCCTAAAATCAGGCCTAAAATGTTTGTCAAGCGACTGCTAGGAAAGCTGTTAGTATCAAATTCTGTTATGTTAGGTATACGTGTATGGTATATTTCGTATTCTGTTTTGAATGATCTTATTATGCTAGTTATGTGTCATTTACTGCATTAAAATACTTTATATCCAGTAGCATTTTAAAAAGTCCATCAGAATTGTTTAGAATAATAGATCACTCTGTAATCATAGAAACTTACTTGTTCATACTTGTTTGATCTGTAATCGATAAACGTGAATTTCTGGACACCTTTTACCTGCATTTAAACCTGTAAATCTCCTTTTTATAGGGTAGAAATTCCCGATTACCAGGCTCTTGCAACGGACAGAACTGGCAAGCTGGTTGTGGTGGGCGCATGAGAGAGGCGAGATGACAACTTGTCCTGAATATGTCGCCCGTGTTCACGAACGCGCCGGCCGCGCTTAAGCATTGAGCACTCTGGTAGGCAGTGAGGAGTGACACTTCATCTATTTTATGTCTGTGAGTGCGACTCTGATGCAGTGGTTATTCATTGCCAACAACCACGGATGAATTAGTGCCATATGAAGGTGGTGACTGCCAAAAGATGTCAAGTCGATGTGCATTTTGCGTCTCTATTATAACCTCGCGCGGTACAGCCTGTTCCTCAGATTTTGGAACATTCGGTTGAGACAAGCTTCCCGCGAAAGAGAATGGCAGTTTCTTGCGGAGAAGCTATGCATGCATTTATCTGAGCTTTTACTGTGACGCAGCTAGCAAACCATGGAATCACCAATAAAACGTGCTAATACCTACCATAACATATTTTTTATAGCTAAGGACATCAAATGACTAGTATTATTATTGCTGTAAGTACAAATGGAGAATCTGAAGACAATTTTTCTATAGTTCACGCATCAACTAGGTTAGCCAAGGCAATATTAAAGGGAGAGTCTACTACTAGGTTCTAGGGTATTTCAGCCGTATTAGGTTATAAATCACGCTACATAAACAGTTCATGGTTCTCAATCACCATTAGAAATATTATTAAAAATGTTTTAAATAGCTAACGACTATCAGTTTGACTTACGAACGACGGTGGCGCACTCAAAGCGCACGATCTGATAAGTTGCGCCAAAAACCACTTTCCAACCAAGGGCTACAGACGAGTGGTTTCTATGTCATCATTAAAAGGCAAAGATTGTAATATCTTATAAGACGACATATGTTTCAGTTATAATATGCGATAAATTGCCCCTAAAATGATATGTTTCGCTTAAATAAGCGATTTAGGTAAAATATAATATGCACTTTTGTGATTAGCCCTCGTCTGTAACCTGCAAAATAAATTGTCAAATACGCAACTTTTTTGGGTGTGGCAGCACGGTCGCGGGTGTCATGGCGCCGTTCAAATTTTGTAAGCGTTGATGTGTAAATAATTATAAACAAAGGTATCTGGTAACACATGTATAAACAAGGTATAACAAGGTATCTTGTAACAAATACGTGTGGTATAGACGATTTGTTATACAGAATACATGTTGTATGCAGTAAAATCTAGAGGCTACTGTCCTTTAACGTAAACTAGTGATATGATTGCATATCGTAGGAAACAAACCTATTATATTATCACTACCTTAACAATCATGCTCTTACCTCATCAGAACGCCGATCCGGATAAGCCTGTGTCTTCTCGAACCAGGACATGGAGGAGGTGGATGCCTTCCCGGAGGCACACTGCCCTTGTTGGTGCGGATAGATGGGAATCTCATGTTGCTAGCCACCAAGTAAGCGTTGCCACTTTCGAAAATTCACACTTAATAATATTTTTTGTTGTTGTTTAACAGAAGTAGGGAATTATTTATCATGTTCGTTGTACATATGGTCACGTAATTAGCTGGAAAAATGAATGAGGAAAGATGAGATTGGCAGAATCAGTAGGATAATAAAGAATAGAAAAATCATATCAGGGTGACCTACGTGAGTGATATCTCAATGGAAATCCTCATTAGCGTGTGCAATTCACAGTGCAAGGAGTGAGAGTATCATTCAAGAACAATCAATAAAAGTAGTTTGCAGCTTTGTAATAGGAAAAACTAAAAAAGCATAAGCCCTAGAGTCGGAAGTACACCCTAAGAATTTTCTCAGTTATCTCTAACCTGCTACTCATGTATACTGCGCTGAGATGTTGTGTCGATAATAAATAATCACGTTTAACTAATAATAATAATAACAACAATAATAATATAATAATAACATTAATGCACTCGTATACGTAGCTGGAGGCGATCGTGGAATAACTCAAAATACCAATGCAATGCCCCCTCTCACTTGGGTTTTGCAGGCGAGCCTCAGCAGCAATCAGTGGTTATCTTAACGTACGACTTGCCATCGTCTGCGTCACGCGCGCTCTGCCTTCGTCACGACGTCGCGGACTGCTCTGGCAGCCGGACTCCGATTCGCGCGCAATTTCGGCACGTCGCGACCTCACACGCCTCGGCTACGTGCAG